GTTTGGAATGCACAAAAAACAAAATAGCGTTTTTTTAACCTTTTGTTTTGTTTTGTTTTTTGCCGTTTTTGAACAACGGCCCTCTGCACACCACGGCCCACCCTTGCCTTTACAACGGCCCCACTTGTTATAAACTACCACGCCTCTTTTATTGCCTTTTCACAATGTGTGACTGACATGGTGGTACCTGTTTTTTTTGCCTACTTGAAACTCGTTTTCGTTCAAGACATAGTCGGCACATTTCATAACAAGGAGATTTGTATTGATAAAAGCTGGAAATAGGATCCAGCGTCCCTTACATCAGATATACTCACTGCACACATCTCCCCGTTATGATCGAGACATAGGGTCTCGCTGCACTACTCTCCACTCTCCGAAATCGGAGAGTTTTTCACCGCTGCACTAACTATCCGGAAAAACCCTTGAAACGAACTCGGATAGCTGTCAGAAACCACCATCCAAGTGCACTCTCCACGGTCGGAGAGTGCCCAGCCTGCAACCTCCGTTTTTCGGATGGACCTCAGCTCGACTCACCTAGATGCTCCGAATTCGGAGAGTGTGCCTGGAGTCGGGGCGGACAAAACGCAGATGAAGCCAAATAATCCAGTGCTGTCACCTCGTCTGCTAGTGTTCTCACGAATTGGAGAGTGGGACCACGGATAGTAAGTGCAGCGATGAGCACCAAACCGCGAATTCGGAGAGTTCAGCAACTCTCCAGCAACGCTCCGAATTTGCGGAGAGTGGTGAGTAGTGTAGCGAGACCTATACTGAGACAATGGCATCACGCGAGACCCTTTCCCTGTCGGGCCCAGGGCAGCTGTGTGGGGCGCGGTTTCTCTAGGGGCCATGACATCGATTTTGTTTTCCCCTGTTTGTCATTGTGCTCCCACCACATGTTCGAGTACAAGTACATAGCAGTGAAGGGACCCGTACAGTCGTTGCTTTTTTCTTTCCCAGTAGATTCGTTCGTTTGCTTTGAGGAGATCTGTTGTTTTTTGTCGTTTTCTACAGCCAGCAGGCCTCATGGCATGCGCGAAAGACAAAAAATATGGCAGTGTATCTTTCCAACTTCTAGCGGAAGATCCATTCTAACTCACCCCATTTGCCCCATTTGGGCCTCGCTCCACTGCTCACTACGTGCACAAAAGACGAAAGAGTGGATTCATTGAATCGTTGTTGTTGTTGTTGTTTTTGGGAAGATTCGTTGTTTTTTTCTTCTCAGAAAATTCATTGTTCTTTTGTCTTTTTCTGAGAAGGGGCAATGCAATCATGCAGCCAGCGGTCCTCATCCCATGCACAAAAGACAAAAAATATGGCGGTGTATCTTTCCAACTTCTAGGAGATTCATTCCAACTTTGGGCATACTCACACTAGCACTTTCTTTTTTTTTGGAAGAATTAAACATTTCATTATCAATTGGAAATTGAGGCCGAGAATCCTCACAAACAACCCGGAAGGAAAAATTGCTGGGGCCAATACTTAGACTAGGCTCGTGCTGGAAACCGGGCCCAGCGTCCCAACCACTATCCAACTAAACAAATTCTCCCAAAAATAACCTTGAAGCACAAGTAAAAAGGTAGGAGTGCTGGAAATCCTGGCCAGCCCCCAATCTCATCTTAGTACCAAAAATGTCCTTAAACTGAGTTGACAGACTAACCCCATTGGGGTAGATATCTGAAACTTGTGTAACTCAATGCCAGTACTTCCTGTAAACCAATCCTTCTAATTACTTGAAGAACAGCAGCCTAAGATACACATTATCAACAGCTCTAACCGCGAGCCTCTACCTGACTTGGTTTACCTGGCAGCCTGGGAGGGAGGCTGAGCCCAGCAGCCATGGAGCCAGTGCCAGATCTCCAGATGGGGAAAGAGAGGCAGAGCCACAATCTTTAGCCCAGGTTTTGATAAACCAGATGAAGTTCTTTGTCCGCCAATCCGCACAAATTGCAAAGCGGAGCTCAGCCAGTATGCGGTTGATCAAGTGACTAGCGTTATGTCTCACTGATTTGAAGAGTAGCTCGTTGCGCCCAAACCACAATGTTGCCATTATGATTCCTCTGCACGCGATGGCCAGATAGTATGGACCTGAAGACACCGGGCCTTGTTCTGTGGATTTCCCATATATATTTATTATAAAATATAATCATCCGACCATACTGTTGGGGGGGAACCCATCGCCCTCCACCTTTCCTTCCACCATTCCCAGATGAGGACAGGAGTAGAGCAATACAGCCACATATGCAGAGCGGTCTCCCATGCACATTCGCAGCGCACACAGTTATCAGAAATTTCATGTTTCTTGAGATCAGCCACATAGCAGTCGGCATTACCTCCAGCGACTGAAGCCACATAAGACCAGGGTTTTTTTTGCGAAGGTATTTTCTTTAAGGCCTTCCATAACCTTCCTAAGTCAAAAGAAAATTACAGCAGCCCTATTATACTTTGACTTCGAGAAACCCTATGACCAAGTCAACTGGTCTTTCCTACAAACCTGCATGGAGAAAATGGGGATAGGCCCGAATTTCGGAAAATGGGTGAGAATCCTATACAATGATGCACAGGGCATAGTCCAAATCAACGGATTCTTGTCCAACCCTTACACAATGACCAGATCAGTAAGACAAGGAGACCCACTGGCAGCACCTATTTTCCTCTTTGTTATGGAAGCCATTGCATCATTCCTGAGAAATGACGAATCCATAGAACGTTTAGAGGGCATCAAAGACGAAAGAGGGCACCCACTTCATCTACCAACCACCCTCCTCTTGGCAGACGACCTAACAGTTCTTATCAGAGCTTCTGACTCTTCTTTTCAAGCTTTAATAAGGGCAATGCAAGCATTTCAACTAGCTTCAGAAATGAAGGGTAACTGGAGGAAAACAATAGGTTGGTGGCTATCAGACACCCTGCCCCCTCTGGAAACCTCGCCAGAAGTAATGCAATGGGATGATCCCTCTTCCCCCATGTGTTCCCTGGGTATTAACCTTAGCATTAAAGGTTGTCATCCATCCTCGGCTGCCTCCCTTATGTCCTCAATGATAAACAGGATGAACTGTTGGCAAGGTGTACATACCTCACTCCTAGGTAGAACACTAGCTCTCAACAACTCAATCCTAGCAATGATGTGGTACGTAACCACCATATGGTTCCCTTCCCCGGACTTTCAAAAACTAATACGTAAAAGAGCAGCCGCTTTCCTTTGGACCGGTAACCCAGACAATCAGCACGTCATCCACAAAGTAGCCTGGCAAATAGTCACGCAGCCCAAAAACAAAGGAGGATTAGGTATCATAGATCCAGCTAGCCAGATTCAAGCCCTACATATCAAATGGATCATCAGACTTACCCTTCAAGGCAATCTACCCTGGATACAACTTGCACTATACCACTTAAGAAAGCTGGCACCTTTCAAATCCCCCCCCAACATGTCAGGACTCTTTTGGATCTTCAATAAACAGTGGACCCTTCCGAGAACCACGAAAGCCACAAGAGATGAACAAATCCAAGAAGAAGAGCAGGCCAATGACTACCCTAAAACCTTCTGGGAACAACTAATACAACCGTGGAGAAAAAATTTCCCTGATAGCAAGGTCGTCCCAAAAAGGAGGGACGAAGTACTAAGACAACCCCTATTCGGCAACCCATGGATTCTGGACGAACGCGGGGAATCCCTCCCACTCAACAAAACAAACTCCAAATGGGGCCTATGGCTAGAAAAAGGGGTTTGACAAATCCAACACCTGTGGAATGAAGATTACAACAGATGGTGTACAGAAGGGGAACTAAGAACGACACTCAAAGGAAACCATAACCTTTATTCTAACTTATCTCACATCATAGACGCCATCCCCATAGAATGGAGAAAGCTACTGAAAAATAAGCAGCAATGGCTCTGGGGAGATTGGGCTGCAGCCAAAGATCAAGGGCAGCCTCAGGAGGTACTTAAAATTTTAGAACCAGAACTTCACCACAATAAATGGATCCTCTGCTCCATCTTTTTGCTAGAGGAGCTAGACAACCCTGCAAGTCTCATCTCCCAAGACCCTAGAGCGGAAAGCGATTTCATAATAGACAGAATCAGAAGGGTAAAAATCATAGGAGGGGAAAGAAATAGAGCACACAAACCGGATACAGCAATACAACACTTCGAAATAGACCCTACAGAATGGTCATGGAACACCCCCAGCATACTTTCGCCTGCAGCTAGGCGACATGCCTTAACAGACTACACACCCAGACTTGGATATAAATTATTGAACAAACCTCAGCCAATTTCAACAATAATAAAAAAAAGATGGGATAAGCATGAGAGCACTCTCGAAGGTTCATCTGTACACCCACACTGGCCCACAATCTTCAGCACTCGACCGGCCAAACTGGCCAGCCTCCTCTGGCTCATAGCATTCAGAGCAGTCCCAGTAAATCAATGGCTTGCCCAGAGAAGAAGTAAGGAAAGAAGAATAGACTAGTCAACCTGGTGCAAGGTATGTAA